AGAGAGAGAGAGAGAGAGAGAGAGAGAGAGAGAGAGAGAGAGAGAGAGATGAGCGATACAAGTTTGGTTGTCACTTACCTGTGAAGCGAGCTGTGCAGTCCCATGTGGAGGAAGAAGAAGCGGCCATAGCCGCGGAGCATCACCACGGAGTAGTGAAGGAGGGAGAGAGACCGGACAGGAGGGGGAGAGACCGAGAAGAGTAAGGGAAGCCATAGCCGAAGGGAAGAAGAAGAAGAGGTGAAAAAAAAAAAAAAAAAAAAAAAAAAAAAAGGAAGAAGAAGACAGCCGGGGTGAAAGGAGGCGAGAAAGGTGAGAGGAAGACCAGGGTTGGCGAGGGAAAGAGAAGTCGGCAGCCATAGCTGATCAGAGGGTTGACCAGAGGAGTTGACCGGAGGCGTTGACCGGCGTTGACCAGAGCTGACCGAAGGTTGACCGAGGGTTGACCGCAGCGTTGACCGGCGTTGACCAAGGCTGTTGACCGACATTGACCAAGACTTTGACCAAGCTGGAGTTGGTAACATCTCGCCAAGCCTTTGCCTATCCCTTGCCCTATGGATGTGCACACACCCCTTGGTACTTGCTACGTCCAGTCTGTCTGTTTATTCTTTCTACATTGAGTCTCTTCAGTCCTAGGTGATAGTACTCTGTGGATGAAGGATAGGGTCTCGTTGACCAAACCCACACGGGATGAGTAGGGCTAAAGGCCGTGTCTGACGACTCGACTGTCCCGGAGGTCAAACCCTCCCAAGGACCGGTACTGACCGGTGGGCTTCTCGGTGTGGCACAGTAGGCCTCGAAATCCGAGTTGTCGGCTGCACAACGGACTGTCTAAGTCTTGAGAGACCTGCTGATCGCGTCGTCCTGTCTGCGACGTTAAATAATTCCTGAGGAGTTCGGGGGATCTCCTTAAATGCCTCCTGATCAGCAACAGGTCTAGTAGTGACAGCCATAGTTAGGTCCAGGCTAGAGACCATAGTTGGCTGGATCCCTGTCTGGATTCTGTGAGTCTTAGACTGAGTCTTTAGGTTTGTCAGTCAGGGGTCATGGTCTACGTGGTGAGGGTTGGAACCACTTACCCGGTTGTGCACTTTTCAACATGGTTGAGACCCGCAGTGGGAAGGACACTACCGTCTTCACCCGAAAATAACACCCGGGCGTTATATTCAACTTACCCTAAAAAGATGAGATTTTCATTTTTACTCACTTTTTTTCAAATAGAACGCCCCTTCGAATAGAACGCCCGGCCGTTCATTCGAATAGAACGCCCGGGCGTTATATTCGAAAAGAACGCCCGAGCGTTATATTCGAATGTTACATGGGCAGAGTGCCTTGAAGAGGTGGTATACATGGGTTTTGAAGGGCGGGGAAGGGGGTATACATGAGTTTTGAAGAGGGTTGAATGGGGTTTTGACTTCAAGGGATATATTTTGGCTTTAGTTTTCGTTTTTATTTTTTATTTCCGAGTTTATAAGGAATTCTGAACTGACCCTCAGCCAAAAGTTGGTCGTATTCCAATTCTGGACAACATTTTTTTTTTTCAGAATTTTTGATTTTTTTTTTTCGGAATTTTGGGGCCTCACAGAAGTCCACAAATTTACTGAATATAACGCCCGGGCGTTATATTCGTTATATTCGTACACAACGCCCGGGCGTTATTTTCGGGTGAAGACGGTAGCCCCTACACCAAGAAGCAGCAAGAAAAGATGGCCGCCCTAGTTAAGGAGAATAGGGAGAGGAATGAGCGCGAGAAGCAAGCGAAGCTAAAGGCTATCGCAGACGAGCAGGCGGCGAAGATGAGGGAATTGCAAGAGGAGATCGAGAAAAAGAAGAAGGCTGCTGAAGAAGAAGCGGCAGCAGAAGAAGAAAAAGAGAGAATGAGAATTGAGAGTGGAGAAGGGAGCAGTGGTGGCACGATGAAGAGGGATACAGATGTTGAGATTGAGAAGAAGATAAGCGAGTGGGTCGCTAATTTATCGTTGGGAGAAGACGAGGAGGCGGAATCTTATGTAACAGAGGATGAGAGGGCTGCGCTAGCCAGTGAGCTAGCAGCAATGACAAATCCAATGGATAGACGAGAAAGGGAGGAGGAGCAGAAATTGGCGTGGAAGCTGAGGATGAAGAGGGAGAAGAAGAGGAGGAGAGAGGAAGTGAGCAAATTGTTTGCAGAGGTAGCAAAGGTGCAGGAGTGCAGGCAGGAAGTGTTGGCCCAACCAGATGACAAGGCTAAGTGGGATAAGGTGTTGGGTTACCTGGAAGTGTTGAGCAAGGCCTGGATAGAGGAGCGCCAGGCCAGTTGGAGCCAGGATGTAGCCTTGAGTGCCATGCGGTCAGGGTTCAGAGACTTTGCGCACGAGATCGTCACCCACATCGGGGGCGAAGTCCGGCAACTGAGGGACAACATAGGGAAGTTCTGTGAGGGCGCCATTGGGGGTGCCAAAGCCATAGCCGCTGTAGAGGGCGAGGCCAGACCCCGTAAGGACCCAGTTAAACTTAAGTTTCCAGACGCGTACGGGGGGAAGAAGGAGGAAAACTTTGACAATTGGGAAGCCAGTGTCAATAGTTATATATATTTACAACATATCCTGTCAGAGGAGCAAGTCCTCGTGGCCTTCCAGGCCGTTAAAGATGAAGCGGCTAGTTTCGCTAGGTCCCTCGCACGCGCAGCAGGTTGTGAAAACAACCTGGTTGCTTACTCTAAAGTTAACCCCCTTCCTCAATTCCTCAAGCTCCTGAAGGAGCGATTTGCCGACCCAATGAGAGGCGTTCGCGCCTCTGACAAGCTGCAAACGATCCACTCACGACAATGGAGGAGTGCCTGGGCACTCAAGGGTACAATGGACGACTTGGTAGCCGTCCCAGACCATGGGGTCACAGAGCCCCAGTTGGTTCAATTATTTTATCGTGCCATGCCAGAGGCCCTACGTGGGCATTTCTTTGACAAGTCTCAACAGGCCGGCATCAGTTATGATGCATCGAGTAGAAAAGTCGTCCTGTATGAGTCAAGGTCCATGCCAGTTACCACCTTCTGGCATAAGGACCTCGATAAGGGAAAAAGGTGGAAGGGTCGTACCATCTCAGGCCAGGTGAGGGCCAAGGATCACATGATCCTTGCCTTAGAAGAAGGTGGTACTGATGAGGTTCCATACAGCCAGATTGAGTGGGGCCTAGAGGAAGAGGACAGTAGTGTGGGACAGGGGAGGTCTTATGCTGCTGTCGCGGCTGGAGAAAGGCCGCAAGGTAGAGGGGGAGGCCGAGGACCGGGCGCACAGGGGGTTGGCGGATAGGGAAACTGCCAAGTGGGAGGTAGGGGTCAAGGTCCCCCGCCAAATCGCCGGGGTAATCGGTCCCCACAGAGACGAGGTGGAAGGGCACCTCAGGGAGGATGGCACCCAGGCTTGCCACAGGGCAGGCCCTGGGAGGACTTGGGCTTGGACCAGGGGTTATGGCAGGAACGTGTAAGCCTGGGTCAGTGCGTGTTTTGTGGTGACCCGGCTCACGTTATTAAATTTTGTCCCAAGTACAGACAGGCCCGTTGGGCTGCCAGGCAGTCAAAAGGCAGCCGCCATGAGGGGTCGCAACTGTCCCTACTCTAAGGCCATGTGGAGAAGTGAGCGCGTGCGAACAGACACTCCCAACCCACATGAGCCTATGGCAGAGGTTGCAGGCCCGTGCCTAGCTAGCTGTCCACAGACCGCCTGTGTTAGCGTCTCTTTAGGCACGTCCCTCATAGGTGTGGCAGAAGAGTTAAAGGAGAGGATGCCAGCCTTGGCCAAAATGAAGAAAGAGAGTAAAGGACAAATGATTTTGGTAGATGTAGAAATTTTCAGAAGTAGAGTAGGGGCCCTTATAGACTTAGGGGCCACCTGCAGTTATATTAGCCGTAGAGCGCTGAAGAAGCTGAGGCTAGGATTGAAAGTCCAAAAGTTAGCAGACCCCATAGTGAGTGTCCTCGCAGACAACCGCACAATGCGCGTTGAGGACTATGTAGAGGGAGTCCAGGCGTACTTTCGCCTAGAGAAGGATGGGAAGGTGGAGAAAGTTCTCCATTCCCTAACTCTCCTCGTACAGGATGACCTTCCTTTTGATATAGTGTTAGGAATGGATTGGGGAGAGGCAGCAGGAGCCACACTCCATTTGAGAGAGCATGAGTGTAGGCTCCCTGGTCCATCAGGCAAGGTCAAGATTGCCCGCCTATTCGTGTGTCAGGTGTAGATAACACCTTGGCACATTGTTGTCTCAGTGCTCCCGCGTTCGCGCGGTTAGTGAAGGAGGGATTAGAGGAACATGTCTTTGTAGTTTATGTAAGACCTGTCACTGAGGCTAAAGAAGAAGTAGATTCCACAGATCCAACCATCGCCAAGCTGCTGGAAGAGTTCAAAGACTTGACTGAGTCGCCGACAGGAGTAGTGTCGCGACCCATCCAGCATAGGATAGAGATAGMGCCTGGCAGTAGAACTCCTAAGGGAGCAGTCTACAGGATGTCCCCTAGAGAGTTAGAGGAGTTGTGCAAGCAGTTAGATGGTCCCCTAGAGAGTTAGAGGGCCAGTTCGTCTCCTTTTGGAGCACTTGTTTTGTTTGTCCCCAAGAAGGAAGGAGAGCGCCGTATGTGTATAGACTATCGGGGTTTGAACGCAATTACTGTAAAGAATGCTGAGCCACTGCCCAGGATAGACGATCTTTTAGATCGGGTGCAGGGGTGTAAGTATTTCTCCAAGATAGACTTGAAGTCCGATTATCATCAGATAGAGGTCCATCCTGACGACCAGTACAAGACTGCGTTCCGGACTAGATATGGGTACTATGAGTTCATAGTGATGCCCTTTGGACTAACCAACGCGCCAGCCACTTTTCAGCGTTGTATGAATGACTTGTTTAGGCCATGGTTAGACAAGTTTGTAGTAGTTTATTTGGACGATATTTTAGTTTTCAGTAAGACCCTCCAGGGGCACCAGGGTCATCTGAGTCAGGTCTTGGAAAAGTTGAGGGAGTCAAACTTCAAGATCAACGCGAAGAAGTGCGACCAAGACACAAGTCCTGTACTTGGGCCACGTATTAGACGGAGATGGCATTAAGCCAGAGGACAGCAAGATAGCGGCGATTAGAGATTGGCCAACGCCTCGCACATTGACAGAGTTGCGGTCGTTCCTAGGCCTAGCCAACTACTACAGAAAGTTCGTGAGGAACTTCTCCACTATCGCCGCTCCCTTGCGCAGGTTGCTAAAGAAAGAAGCAATCAGGCAATGGGACAAAGACTGTACGTCTACACTCAAGAAGTTAAAGCGCGCGTTAATAGAGTATCCTGTCCTCAAAGTAGTTGATCCGTCCTTGCCATTTGTCGTCACCACGGACGCAAGTCAGTATGGGATAGGCGCCGTGTTGCAGCAAGATGACGGCCATGGCTATAAACCCGTAGAGTTCATGTCCGCGAGGATGCCCTCAGAGAAGGTAGCCACCTCGACGTACGAGAGAGAACTCTACGCTCTCAGGCAGGCTCTAGACCATTGGAAGCATTACCTGCTTGGGAGGCACTTCAAAGTGTATTCTGATCATGAGACCCTTAGATGGTTAAAGATCCAGGCCAAGATGACACCTAAGCTAACTAGGTGGGCCGCTGAGATAGACCAGTACGACTTTGAGCTCAAGCCAGTAAAGGGCAAGTACGACGTAATTGAGGACGCTCTGAGTAGGAGATCAGACTACTTTGGAGCCATAGTACACTATCTGGATATAGGGAGAGACCTGCAGGAGAAAGTGAAGCAAGCGTATGCGTAGGACCCTATCTATAGCGACCTCCTAAAGAGAGTTAGAGAGGCCCCAGAGACTGAACCAGATTACCGCACTACAGACAGGTTGTTGTTTGAGAAGACTAATGTGTTTGACCGCCTGTGCGTTCCCAACAGTGAGAAGATCCGCAGTCTGATTTAAGGGGAATGCCATGACACAGAGGGGCACTTCGGTTGGCAGAAGACATTAGCCAATCTGATGCGTGCGTACACCTGGGCAGGGATGAAGAATGACTGCATAGAGTATGTCCGCAGTTGTAAAGTGTGCCAGAGAAATAAGTCTACTACACGCGCGGACCTAGGTCTTCTCAGACCCTTGCCTCTTCCGAATCAGTCGGGAGACTCAGTGTCCATAGACTTCATGGACACCCAAGTCAAGAGCAGACACGGTAAGAGCCAAGTCATGGTCATAGTTGACCGTTTTAGTAAGTATGCTGTGTTTGTTCCCTTGCCTGCAGAGGCACGTACAGATTTAGTGATACATGAGTTTTTTGACTTTTGGGTTAGTGAGAATGGAATCCCATTGTCAATAGTTAGTGATAGAGATAGTCGTTTCACCAGCCAGAACTGGCAAGAACTCATGAGAGTCTACGGATCTAAGCTATTGATGTCGTCTGGCCGCCATCCAGAGACAAACGGTCAGACAGAACAGATGAATAAGATCCTACAGCAAGTTCTGCGCATGTACATTAGACCTGATCAGATAAACTGGGACTAGATGTTGCCCAAAGTAGCTAGTGCGTACAACAACAACGTGCATCTATCCACCTGCCGCACTCCCAACGAACTGCACAAGTCCTTTAGACCACGCATGCCGTTCGAAGGGCTGAACAGGGATCAGATCCACAGACTACTGTCCGGTACTAGGGAGTTTGCGATACAGCATGAGAAAGAAATAGCAACTGTTGTTGAAAACCTCAGGAAGGCCCAGCACAGAATGATAGAGCAGGCTAATTAGCACCGCCGCCCTTCGCAGTTTCAGGTAGGCGACTTAGTATGGGTCAAGGCTAAAGAGTTTGCACCTGAGGAAAACATCTCGCAGAAGTTACTGCCTGCATATAGAGGACCGTGGCCGGTTCTAGAAGTCAAGGGCGGAGAAGATGGACCGTCCTACACTGTAGAAATCCCATTACACCTCCACACATATCCTGTGTTCCACGCTTCAAAGCTGTTGCCGTGTGTCACAAGCCAACAGTTCCCTTCAAGACGATCTATGATTCCTCCGGATATGCACGGAAGTTATGACATTGAAGGTATTGTAGACGAGGATGTGTTTAGAACAGGAGGTAGAGGTCGTCCCCAGAAGCAGTACAAGGTCCGGTTTGCCTATCAAGAACCGGAAGACGACCGCTGGTTCACGAAAGCAGAACTACAGCATTGGAACCAAGAAACCATTCATATGAGAACGATACAGCAGAATCGTGAGGTCAATATCCCAGCCCGTAGGGCCACACCAACATCATAACCCAATGTAGCTCTCTCTGAACGGCGCTGGCGCCCTACCTACACTACTCCCTACAGCCACAACTACAGCATGATCACAACCAAACGACTTGAAGACCAGCGTGCTTGACGTCAACACCAATGCCGACCTCCTCTCTGCATGCCAGGTAAGTACCTCCGTTGCTCCCCACTCCTATCCCGTCTCCCCACTCTCGTGCCTCCTTCCCGAAGACCACCTTCGCCTCCCTACCTCTCACTGCGCCCAGCAGCTCGGCTATGGCTGTCGGTGCTCGCTGCCTTGCAGCGCCCCACACCACTGCGCCCGATAGCGCGCTTGACCACCTAGCGCAGCATGCACGCGCTCGCTACACAATGCAGCAGCGTGCCGACAATGCCGCACCAGCCAAGCTCCTGCCCCTGCGCCCAGACTGCCTATATGCCGTGGTAGGCGCGTGTGCGGCTCACTGTAGCCTGCAACTGGGCCCCGATATCTGCGCCCAGGCCCGATGCAAATGGGGCCCAGACTTTACAGTTGCGCCCATCAGCCCAGGGTCGATGTCCAGATTCAGATAGCAGGCCGGTTTCCCTTTGGCACGCTCGGCCTCTACGACGACAATGCTGCTTTTCGATTGGCCTGCGTCCAATGTGTGATGTGTCGGCCTCCCCTGGTTTGTGCCCAGGGCTCAACAACTGCTTCTGCAGGAGTCTGGCCTTCACGATGCACTCCAACGAACTGGCGTGATGCAACTGTCTGATACCCACTTCGCGAAATGCTGAAAGAAAGGCCTCTCGTGGATATTCTGGCCCGCCTTCACTTAGGGCGGGCATGAGGCTTGTTTGGGGCCTTAGCCCAGAACATATTCAGACCCTGTATTCTCTCTTGGGTTTTGGAGGTCTCCCTCTACCCAGAGGTTTTGGAACAGGCATGTCTCTATGTTCCAGAATGTCCTCGATGTCCACGTGGCCGTCCATGGTTGGGGGCAGCATTGATCTCCTGGATGGAAACTGAGCTGTCTCAAAGAAAGGTGCAAGCTTTGAGGCATGGAAGACAGGGTAAGTGCGCAGGTGACCAGGGATTCGAATAACATAGGAGGGACCATCCAAATCATCCCCAACTACATCCAAGACTTCCCAGGGAGTGTGGCATTAGTTTACGAGAGATTCCGAATTCCTGTCCTAGTTCACTAGCCTTAACCCAGACACGTTCCCCTACTTGAAATGTGGACGGTCGACGATGTTTGTTCTCAGAAGCAATCATTGATGTGCTCGACAGCTTGCTGCAACAACTTCTCATACTGCACCCCGTATTCCAAGGTGCCACGTGTTGCAGCAGGTCGGTTTTCAGGCAGGAGGAAGTCTAGAGCGGATCTAGGCTTCCATCCCAAGTGCCGCTGATTAGGACTAACGCCGGTTGTACTGTGCACAGCGTTGTTGTACAGGCTGGCGATGAGAGGCAATGTCTCATCCCAGTCATCTTGGCTGGGCTTAATGTAATGCCTCAGCAGATGTTGCACAACTCTGTTCATCTGTTCGGCCTGTCCGTTGGCTTCGGAATGATTCCCAGAAGTCATCTGAAGTTGACTGCCCATTTGCTCAGCAGTCTTCTTCCAGAGCTCGACTTGTGAAGCGCACATCTCTGTCACTAACGATTGACTTTGGCAATCCAAAATCACGCACCCAGTTGTCCATAAACAACTTGATGACGTGCTCAGTCCTCGTAGTCTCTGGCATGGCAATCAGTCTAGTGTACTTGGTGAATCTGTCTATGATGACAAAGATGTGCCTCTTGCCACTCCTGCTGGTTACCAGAGTGTCCATGAAATCCATGGAAACACTCTGTCCTGGTCCAGCGAGAATGGGCAAGGGCTTCAACAACCCAAGCGGTGCTTGAGTTCGCGGCTTGTCCCGCTGACAGACCTGGCAGGTCTGCACATACTTCTTTGCATCATCTAGCATACCGGGACACCAAAATCGTTGTACTAAATTGGCACTGGTCTTTTTGTAGAAGAAATGTCCAGTTGCATCATGGCATTCACCTAAAAATAAACTGCATAAATTCTCCCAAGATGGAACATCTTTCAATCCCAGCCTTTCTCAGAAAGAGCAACCCATCCACCATCACAAACTCTTCTTCTGTGCCCTTGTCTTTGGCCTGCAGTTTGCGAATGATGTCCATCGTAATAGGGTCTTCCTGATAGGCTTCCTCCAGCGATCTAGTCACATCGTCAGAAATGTCGAATTCAGTGACTAAAGCCCCGAGGTAATCTGCCCTACGCGACAGTGCGTCAACAACATTGTTATACTCCCCCTTCAAGTAATGGATTTTGAAGTCATCTTGCTCTATGACTTCAATCCATCGCTTGAGGGCATCAGAGAGAACAGGTTGTCTTTATCCACTTCAGCGTCTGATGGTCAGTTCTCAAATAGAAGAACCTACCCAACAGAAAGTGCCTCCAATGTAGCAGTGACTTATACAAGGCGTAGAGTTCTCTCTCGTAGGTGGACTTCGCTAGTTTTTTGGATGGCATCTTTTTGCTCATGTACTCAATCGGTCTCAACTTTTTACCATCCTGCTGAGCCAGCACTGCGCCAATGCTATATTGGCTTGCGTCTATGGTAACAATGAATGGCTTCTGGGGATCGGGCACCATGAGAACCTCATGATTCATGAGGGCATGCTTCAATTGCTTGAAAGCAGCCTCACACTCATCACTCCACTCCCACGGTGTGTCAAGTCGAGTTAGAACAGTCAAAGGAGAGGCGATTGTGGAGTAGTTCTTCACAAAGTTTCTATAGTAACCGCACATTCCTAAGAAAGATCTGACCTCAGTAACGGTCCGAGGTTGTGGCCAGTCCCTTATACAAGCCACCTTCGCATCTTTCGGCCTAATCCCTTCCGCGGATACTTCATGACCCAAATACAAGATCCTAGTGCATCCGAACTTGCATTTCTCTAAGTTGACCTTATACTTGTGTTGCCGCAGAGGTGAGAGAACAATCTCTAAATGTTGTGCATGCTCCTCGACAGACTTACTGAAGACAAGAATATCGTCGAGGTACACGACAACAAACTTGTCCAGATAGTTATGGAAGATCCTATTCATGGCGTGTTGGAATATACCCGGGGCATTGCAAGGGCCAAAGGGCATCACCACAAACTCGTACAGACCGTACCTGGTCTGAAATGCGGTTTTGTGTTCATCCTCGCGTCATATGGCAATCTGATGGTAGCCGGATTTTAAATCTATCTTGGTATAGTACTTACGTCCCTGCACCCTATCCAATAGGTCATCAATGCGTGGTAGAGGCTCGACGTTCTTCACAGTGATGGCATTGAGGCCTCTATAATCAATGCACATCCTCAACGAGCCCCCCTTCTTCGGTACAAATAACACTGGTGATCCGAAAGGGGAAGAACTAGGCCATATCCATCCCTTCTCTGTGAGCTCAATCAATTGTCGCCGAACTTCGTCCAACTCGGCCGGAGACATCCTATAGATCCTTCCCTTTGGGGTTTTACTCCCTGGAATGATTTCTATGGCGTGGACAATCTCCCTATCTACAACTCTTGTAGGCTCCTCAAACAAATCAGGGAACTTAGCAACGACGTGGTTTATCTCTGGGGGTGTTTTTACGGCCTCCCCTTTCTCAGAGACATAGACTAGGTACATACTCTCCTCTTGGTTTTGTTTATAATAATTGTAGAACGCACATGCGCATATGCACCCAATCTACTAGCCTTGTACTTGGCCAGTCTCACAGTCCTCCAATCAGGCAACTCATGCTTGAGCACCTTCTTGTCCCAGTCGAATTGGGGCTTGGCAACCTCAAGGTAGTACATTCCTAACAACATATCAAATGGTAAGTCGTCGCTAACCAGGAACGGAATCTTATGATTCAGTTCCCCTCCTCCATAGGATAAGGTGCAGACTACATCTTTGACGTAGTCTGAGACAACCATGCGCTCCTTATTGGCCAAAGTAATGCTACCGGTCTACTGAGGTGCTGCACCCGGTCCTCTAAACGCAGCCTTTCCAAACAGTCGCGACTTATAAAATTTCGGGTGGAGCCGATATCTACGACGACACCACATTTGCGGCTTCCTACAACAACCTCCACTACGAAATGTTCCCCTCTAGGACCTGCACTTAGTGCCACCCAAGACTCGTGTGGATCACTATTCAACCATTCACTTTGTCCTCTAAGGCTTCAAACACATCCAACGTATAGAGCATGGTTTGGTCTGGGTGCGTTTGCGGGGTGACTAAAGAGTCGTTAGCTGTGGCCATCTCATGAAGTGGGGAGGGTATCTGTCCCACTTCACCATGAGTAGAAGCAGCTAAAACTTCCACCGGCCTCAAGTGTTTCACGAGCTGAAACTGGTCCCAAACTCGAAAGAAGGCACCCCTCCCTTAGGGGGTATCTTCTGCGTGACCTTTGCGTTCTTGCACTTTACTTGGTGTGTCCGTACTCACCACAGTTGATGCAAGCACCACGCACTCGCCGGTCCCGCCACACTTCTTGATCAAGACCTGCCTTGACCCAATCCGCTCAACCATCATCAATCTACTACCCTTCTTTTTCCATTCCTGTGGACTCTTCTTCTTCCTCCCGTCTACTAGAGTAGGTTGAACACTTCCTAGAGTAGCCTCTAAGTCTAAGGCCTTTCTAGAGAAGGTATCAAAGGAATGATACTCGAGGCGAGCCTCGCTGGCGAGTAAGGTTCTGAGATTCTCGTGCAGACATCTCAGAAACATGGTCAATAAGACCTGGTCATCGTAGCGTATGCCGGGAACGACGATGAGGTTTTCTACAGTAGACGTCAGCTCTCTGACAGACTTGTACCTTCGCTGGTCCAATTTGAGCATCGCGTCAGTGGCGGTTTGTGCATGCTGCAGATTATGCCAGCGAGCTTCTACCATATCCAAGAACTCTTCTAAAGTGAGGGTTTTACCCCAATCTGCCATGCGTCGTCTGAACCCGACTTTGGCTACTATCCCATCCAGCCATTTCGCTGCCTTACCCTCAAGGTAAGATGCAAGAATAATCACCTCCTCCTCCTGCATCGTCCTCTTTGCCCTTACCCACATCGGAACCGTCCTTAACCAAGTGTTGAGTTCCTCGTCCTTCTTCTCACTGGAGAAGGCAAGGGGTGGCTTCATCGGGGTCTTTGGGTACCATGGACTTTGCTGCTGTCCCTGAGGTGGAACAAATTGTTGCGGCTGTGGTGTAGCTCCAGCCGCTGGACCAAACGAAGTAGAAGCAACAGTCTGTGCGCCTGCTGCAGACGTACCACTTGGTTGTGTGCCAGCTTGTACCGGAAAGGGGCCTGACATCGCCGTCAACGGCAATGGTGACTGTGCTGCTGGCCGTAATCCTGGCCTCTGCCTACATGCGCATGCACTAACAGTGCGTCAGGCATTGCTGACTCATCTAACTCCTCTAATGCAGTTTTGTCTGCCTCTAACTTATCTAGCCAGGTTGTTCTATTTCTAATCTCACTTTCTCTATCAGTAGCTTGCTTTAGTTCCCTCTCTAACCGTGCGCGGATCCTCTCAACTTGATGGAGCTCTTGTAGCTCCCTCCCACATGGGGTCAACGGACTGAACTGCGAGCCCGCCATTGCTGCTGCGCTGGCTGATGCTGCTGCCTATTCCCTAACTGCGACATTTGCTGCTGCTAACGCCTGTCTTGCAGCTAGTGCTGCTTCCCCGGCTGCTGCGTAAGCACGGGCTCTAGCTTCGGCACGAAGCCGTCTTTCGTCTCCTGACTGTAGGAAATGAAACACGTACGGGACCCTACGTGATCTCGAACGTGTCAGCCTCGCATCGTCAACTCTACCCTCGTCGGAGTCTGGCCCACTCATCAGATAGGCAAACACTGCACTACAACTCCTTGCTAGAGTCCTACCACAGCATGTGTCTGACTGACACCTAATTTTCTAAAAATAAATGTGTCCGGCAGGTCCCCTACTTAACCGATCAAGTGGCAGCCTACAACATTCACAAAGACTACACACATAATCTAATTTTACCCAGAATAGTTCACTTACAAAAGCTTTGCATAGAACTGGCTATGGTAGTATACAACAGTCCTAAACTAAGCTGTCTGCGAGGTGTTAGCAGTCTGTCAACCAACTAATCAAAATTAAAAGTAAATTATGTTGCAGATGTATGAACAGTGGAAATGGTTGTGTTTACAGTTGAGCACCAATTGGAACCTACCCTCCCCTCAATCCAACATACCGATGAGCATCAATGAGCAGCAGTGTCTTAGGTGTGCAATGTCGGCCCACCCCTGTGCCCTAGGTGTATGCTTATGACCAGGCTTGCCCATTACTTATCCTCGCATGCAACGAGCCGTACGTTCAACTTTGGTTTTGAACAAAATATAGGCAACGGAAGGTAGTGTTGTTTACGAAGTATTGATCAATTACATGGACCTACTTTTCAATCCATTTGTGGAAACATAGCATGTGTTTCTAATCATGACACCAAGGCTGCGGCGCATCATTACTTTGAAAAAGTGATCTCTTGCGAGCGCCTGCAAAGCACTGAAGATTTGACGCGTAGTGTTGATAGCTTTGTTATGTTTCCAGAAAAAAGATTCTGTTTTTCGAATCCAGAAACCAGTACTACTAAAGTGGCTATACATACCAACTTTTTCACAGATCTCTATGCTTTGATAGGAACTGGAAGTTTTGAAACATATACGGTCGGTCGCTTTTTACAAAGACGAACACATTGCATTTTACAATGCCTTCGGCCCTCTTCTATCCAATGTGGTACTTCATGAGCTTGAGAAATTTGTCATGCGATCTGGCTGATCAAGACGCAATTTAAGGACAGCCCCCAAGGTCCGCAGGAATTATATAACGTCGCAAACAGGACGACAATCACAGCAAGTGGACAGTTTGGAACCCCAACCATAAATGTTTATAGACGGTCTGAGAGCATCTGCATAAGCCTGTTCAGTCCGCACACTCCTCTATCAGTGCAGCAAAGAGCCTCAATGGACAAAGCAGCCATCGCATGCGTGTACTAATCCCATTGGGTTGGCATGGTGACCGTGACCCACGTGCTTCGACCAGGGCCCTTCAGAGGCACCGCCCTTTCTCCTTCCAGATGCGCCACCGGGAAAATTGTTGTCTCTCAAGGTAGAGCGCTCACGACACCTCACCAAAAAGAGAGGACTCTCAAGTTGGACTCACTTCCTCTCGGTAAGAAGAGATTGAGAGGGTCTCCACCATCGATTTGGAGCCCTCCATACCATCGATTTGGAGCCCGGACATTCTCCACCTTGCCGCCCTCCATACCATCTTCTTTCTCTCTTGCCATATTTGGTCTTCCAATCTCTTTCATTTGAGTCGCAATGGAATAGCAATGTCACTTGTGAGCTTTTGTATTCGAAGTTGACCAAGGATCATAGCATGTGTTTCGTTAGCAAAGGCGAGGACATAAAGGGATGGAGAGAGCAAGTGAGAACAAGAGACAGGAACACGTCAAGGAGAGATGGAGATGAAAAAAGAGAGAGAAGACGGGTGACGGCTAGTGAGGCAGGGGAGGGGGAAGGGCAAGCAAGACAGGGAGGAGGAAGGTCTAGTGTGGGTGTGAGAGAACGAGGTGCTTTTGTTGTTTTTATTTTTCCCTTTGATTATAGTGTTCATTTCTTTTCATTGCTTTCCATCGCTATTGTTGTTTGCGTGCTTTTTTTTCTCTTTGCATTTTTTGTGGATCTTCCAATTCAATTAGCTACGGGAAAGAGGGAGGCACGCCAGGGTTGCACCCCCCGACGGTCGGCGGCCCTTGACTTGTCGGCTCCCGACCCTCAGACCAATCGGCTGGTCGGCACCTACCGGTCGGGGGTCGTCGGCACCCCGCAAAAAAAAAATAATATGGGGGGTCCAGAACCCCTAATAACACCACCAACACCCCCATAGCGCCCCCCCAATACCCCCATACACCCCCCCCCAACAACCCCAAACCGCTCCCAACACCCTCATTACCCCCCCCAATACCCCCTATATCACCCCTATAAACCCGTATACCCCCCCCTATACTCCAACCCCAACCCCCTCATACCCCCCCGCATCCCCAAAAGTTTCTCAGCGGATGTGGGCTGACCTCAGCAAACATAGTACGGCCCCGAACTCAGATTTGAAAAAAAGTCAATGCATGGTTGTTTTCTGACTGGTCGGCAGACCGCTGACCGGTCGGCCGTACTGGTTGGCTGCAATAAGGTCGGCGGTCGCCAGGGATGCAACCCCCAGGCACACAGATAAAGGGCCGGAGAGAATGATCATGAAAGACACGAACACTTTTAAGAGAGGGACGGAGATTAAAAAAAGCCAGAGAAGAGGCGGAACGGCTAACAAGATAAGGGACAGGGAAGGGCAAGCTAGATACGGAGGGGAAAGGGCACGCGTGCGCGTGCGCACGCGCGCGCGCGTGAGAGAGAGAGAGAGAGAGAGAGAGAGAG